AGATAAAAATACTTCTTTTACACTGTGACTTCCTTTAGCACGATTGTAGAGGCCCTGCAAAGCCTCAGCACCAGCAGCTGTGACCAGAGGGTTTCCCCCCATGGCACAGGGTGCTCCAGGGATGCGCATTGTAAGCACTGAGTGCAGGGATTGCCAACCCTGTGCCCTGTACCACTGGTTCCAGCAGTGAGCCCAGCAGATGTGCAGCTTCCAACCTGGAACATGCCTCTTCCTTACAGAAACCTGCAACTTCTGATTAAGCCTTTACAAAGCAATGGTTAACGAAGTTACAGAAGGGCTAAATTGTGATGCAGAGACAGGAGTCAAATTCATGTTACTTTCGGTATGTTCTATTTAGCAGAACACCAAAGGAGACACCTGAAGTAACAGTTAGTTTTGTGGTGGCTCGCACCCTACCGACAGCACTCCCGTCCCGACTCCAGCACCGTCACACGGGTTGGTTTTGTAGGAAAGGGAGGTAAAGTCAAGCTGAGGCTCAGGAACCTCTTGCTGTTACGCAAGAGTTGAAAGGAGACTGCTGTGGGTTAACACCCACTTTTGAAAAGCCTGTATTCAGAAGACTAACTATTTGGCCTAAGTGATGGCTCTTATCACATCACATCACATGCGTGAGTTACCTAAGAGAAATTGCATCAAGAGTTTTACAGCAAAATCTAATTTTGTAAGATCAAAGAGACTTCATATCGGTAAATTTAAATACTCTTTTAGTAATTTCTGAAGTTATTAATTCTCCAGAATTTGCAGGTGACCATACGCATTTCTGCGAAACTTGGCTTTTCACTTGCCGTAATGATTCTCCTACAGGTTTTCACAGGGGAACTCTGCAGAAGTGTTTTTTGGTTTTTGACAGCAAACACAGAGCAAACCCCTAATTCAAGTATCTCTCCAATATATTTCCAGCAGTTCTAACTTACAAAGCATTTTATCTCAACCATCAACAGCTGTCCAGAAAAACTATATATAAAACTATAAATTAATAATTATCCAAAGGAAACTAAGTTGTTTTCACCTACCTTGAATTATTACATACAATATAATAATACCATTTTTTCCCCAGATTTTCCTTGGGGTTTTGTTAATCCAAGCCATTTATAACTGAATATGTACTGTCTTCTTCCCTGTTCTAGGAAAAAGCAAGTTCTTTTGATAAGTCAGTCACAGAGCCGTATCTCCTGAATTAATCCTTGTCATGTTGACATCAGTATTGCTTAATCGGAATTCCTGGTTAAGAAAAAAAATTAAAGATAAAATCTGAATTTGAGCAAAGGTTCTTTATTACCACAGCTCGTTTGCCTCCTCACAGAAAGCCCCATTATAATTACAGCAGCTAATTGTTGTACGGCAGCATCAGCACATCTCTCAAAGCATTGGCAAAGATGGCAAGATACTGTGGATAACCCGAGCCAGTGTGAAGGCACAGCGGGGGCATGGGGCAGGGAAGGTTTTCATGATGAATTTCTAAGCTACTCCCATAAAACTGACAGATGTAAAACACACAGAAAGGTAGCAAGAGGGAGAGTATTCGCTCATACTTCAGTGCCGTGAGCAATGAGGGTGATCTCACCAGACTGGCCCTTCCCATCTGACCACATGGAGAAGATAACCTTCAACCACCCTTCACAGCGTGAGCTCGAGAGCTCAGGCCTGTCCAGCCATGCTGCACCAGACAGGTGATGAAGAGCCAAGGGGACAGCAGTGCAAGTGCTTCTCCAGCCCACTCCTCAGCACCTTGCCTTCCTGCTGCCCGGAGTCAGTCCTGCACAAAGCGGAGGTTAGCAAAGAACACCGTGTAACAGCTCACTGTTCACACCGCCACAGGAAACACTGCAAGAGCCAGAAACATCTCCAGCTCCTACTTGGCTGCATGAAGAGCTGACCTTTCCTTCAGGTAGGCCTTACACATCACATGCTAGAAGCGTCTGCATGGACCTCCCACCCAGTTCTAACTCAATTCTAAGAAACCATTGTATTTCATTTTTTGTTAATTTCAATAAAAACAAACATCAAAGCTAACTTTAAACCCCCAGGTCTCCGGTTTACAACAATGCTTTGAAAACTTCAACAAACTATTTGTCCTGTAGCTTCAGGCTGGGCATGCAGCTAACAAAAATAAACATGGGAGTACCATAGTCAAAACTAACCAGGCATTGTTAAAAGTAGTGTCTAAATACTCTAATTTAAAAAAGAAATAAAATTTATAATCATTGAAAATCTTTTATTGTGAGGCAGTGAGAAAAAACCAAGTAACAAAAAAAAATAATTTATGAGTTTTCCCTATTTTAGCCTTCTGACCCTAAATCAGGCATTTTCCAAACAAACAAAACAGTTCCAGAGCGTGTTATTAAAACCACCCATAAGCCTCCCACGTATCTAGAGCAGCAAATAGTTCTGTTGTTGCAAGTCAAATGGGAGTAAGGAGGATTTTACCCTCTAGAAGCTACTAGAAGGAAATTACTGAATACTGACATCTGAATATATTCCACAGCTCTTCATTCCAAGTAACTCTTCAGTAAAAATGAGCTCCCAAAACATCTTTGTCCTGCTACAAACCTCCTTTTCGAAGCACTTGTGCTTCTACCTCATTTACTTGCATCCTTCATTTCTATCTCTTTAACCACTCAGCCCAGTATCAGCATCCATGGAATTTCTTCTGTTTCTTTAAGATACTGAAAATCAAAGTACTTTGAAAAAAACATCTTCCCAATTCAAGCTGTCAAAATTTGATGACTGTGCTAATTATTTTTTTCACATTTAATCTGAATAGAACCCTGATTAGCGGCATTTTAAAAACCTAAACCTGCAAAGCAGTTATTCTGTCCTCTAACAGGCTTTTAACCCTTTAATGTTCCCAAATGATTACAATTTAAATAGATGTATCTTTTATAGTATTTATGAAGAAGTTACACTAAAGGATACAGTATCCTTTTAAAGGATACTCACATGAAGCAGTTATGCTGTTCACTTGCACATTATTTGGACAGCATGTTTGCTCTCCATTTCAGCTCAGGAGGTACTATTTGTGACCTACTACCAGGCTTTTCTTGGACAGTTCACATACTATATTCATACCCAGAATCACCCCCTTACCAGGATTCAGTTTTGTAGCTAGATTTTACTTTTCTCTACTAATTTCACTCTTAGTTCTAAGAAAAATTTGGTCAATTTCTTTCCCAGACAGGGCTTTGCTGAGCTGCAAGCCAAGTCCTGCAGCCTCCAAGTTGGATGCAGCTCATCCAGATCGTCTCTCTCACATGACTTGGGTCAAGGTTAGGTAACAAGCCATCTGCTGAGGCAAGTCAGCAAAACACGGTTTGCAGCGTTAACTGAACAAGCTATTTCAGGCAGGATAGACCAGCTCATAGGCAAACGCCCCCTACCCCACTACCCTTTGTTCCCTTGAAAGGTACAGAAAACCTCCCTGTGAGTGCACAGGGGGGCTAGAAACAAGCCTGTGGGAATCGCCAGTCCGCGACTGTCCTGAAAAATCCCCGTATGCACGAGTTACCTGAACCACTGAACTCTGCACAAAGGCACAAACAGGAAAACACCACCTTTCTGTGCTGAATTCCTTATGAATTCTGAGTCACCACATAAACCTTAGAACCACGTTCCAATACCAAAAAAATAGCAGAATTAACACACTTTAATTTTATAAAAGAACTTTAATTTATACAAACGTTTTATTCCCTCTCCAATTAAAATGTATTTGTTACCCTTAATAACACTCAGGTTAAATTAGTAACTGTTGAGTTACAAAAAAAAAAAGAAAAGCAACAGAAAGCAACATTCTGTTGTGATTACATTTTGCATGTGAGAATCAAATCTGCTGATCAAGGAGGAACTGGGTTGCACTTTATTTTAACTATTTGTAACGTTCCACTGGCATATAACCACAGTGATCGTGTAAAAAAATAGAAAAAGTAGACATTAAATTTCTGTACACATTAAATGTGAAACTTGTATCATGTGAAAAACTATATTCTGTATAGCCTGTATTCTAAATCTCTTAGTGTGTAGGACTCAAGGGTAAAAAATACACACACAGAACATGTTAGTAGCTCCACAAAATAAGGAAGTCACACAATTAAGCAGAGTGATGGCAAACCAGCTGGAATTAAATACAAAGCTGTGATATTTTTTTAATTGGAAAATTGAGGATCAGTCCAGTAAGAAATAGTTTATTACGTATTTTGAGGTGACTCTCACTAAAACAGTCCTTAAAAATTGAAGCCTTTTATGTGTAAGGGGCAAGATTAAAACAAGACGGCTCCTTTCACGAAGGGCACGAAGTAGGTAAAATCACCTCCAATTCTCTTGAGTTCTCTTTTAAGGAATGAAACTGACGAACGTTTATATATAGAGGGATTTTTGTGAAAAACAGATAGCCAATTTATACAAGTAAGCCCCTAAAAAATAAATGGGGAGACAGGAATTGTCTATCAAAGCAGACAAACTTACAAAGTAGCAGTAGCGAACAGCAGGTGACATTCTGCAGCAGCAGCTTTACACATATTCTCTGAATTATGTCACAACCAAAGTTAGAGAAATAAAAATCTTCAATCTTACAAAACATTTTTGAGAAGTTAAAATCTCACCTATAATACACATGTAGATAATAATATTTTAATTCATTTATTTACAACTGTTAGATAGAACCAGACTCTTTATACAACTGTATGTACATGAGCTTCAGTCATACCGAGTCCTACCAAAGTGAAGCAAAGGAATGATTACATAAATAGAGCTTTGCATTACCCAAATCAGGCTTATGAATTCAAATTACAGAATATATATATTTGCCTTTCAATATTCAAAATTCACTTACGGAAAACAATTTTTAAAATGTTAAAATGAATGTAGAGTTTGACAGCAGGAAATTCTCAATACAGCCGTGTGATTACAGGCTGGAATTAACTGCATTGTTTGCATTACACAGCAAATAAAGCAGGAAACATTAATCCACAGTGCTGTGTTTTTCACTAATACATAAAAATTTCCTGTTTTTTCATTATATTTGTACGACACAGAGGGCATTTGTCAAGTGCTTCAGCACACTCCTTACAGGCAACGAGGTGGCCACAGGGAATGAGGACGACTGATATGTCTTTAGCCATACAGATTTTACAGAGCTTTTCTTCCTGCAAGCGTCTTAACTTCTCTTCAGTGCTGAGATCTGTGGAAAATAAACATATAGAAAGAACATACTTAGTATGGTTGAATCTCTTTTTTTTTTCTTTACACACAAGGACAAGGTTTTCTTTGTATGATTTAAAGGTCATACCTTTAAAAAAGAAGAAAATAAATTACAAGAGATAGGAAACCAAGCTGCAGCATGGCATCCTCTGCCCCTCCCAGGCCAATGCAAGCCAGGAGTTCAGCTATCTGTATTTATTTTCAAGAGCTTGAAATATCTATAGAATTTAGATACACATATTTCAATCAGGAACCATTCTTTTCAGACTTCCCATTGACAGCTTTCCCCAAACTTGAACAGAAGCTGCAGGAAAAGCTCGTTGATACTGGTTAAGTAATTTGGTTTATTTTTTTCCCCCAAAAAGAATGAAAAGAATGAGGATGTGATTTCCCTCCCTGCCTCCGTTTTCAAAATGCCCATACTTCAAAAGCTTGTGAATGTGTAATACAGAAAAAATCTATTTTGCATTTTACATGAGCTCTTTATTATTCTAGTGTGCCCCATTTGAAAACACAAACTTCAAACGCCTTCCCCTGCCACTTGGGGAAAGCTCTGCACAGCCAACCACAGAAATAACGCCCATCTTCATTGCAAGTTCTTTTTCTCCCATAATATCCATTAAAAATCTTACTAAAAGAGTAGGCTGGTAGGATCTCTGTCTTGCATGCCAACCAGATGGTCCTTTCCCTCCCTAGGAGTACACCCATATGCTCATCTTACACTACAGGTCTCCTGAGTTAGAACTCCTGGGTTTGGTTGATTTGCTGTGTACCACAGTGGCTTTCAGACCATCACCTGCATGTCCCAGCATAGCTGGAACACGAATAATAGAAAAGAAACACCATCTAGAAGTACACTTTTTCTTACTGTCTAAGAAGGCAAATGCTTCTACCCCACACAAAATTTATACTGGGAAATAAATAATCCCCTACTAAAATCTTTTTCATTTTGAGCACACTGAGTACTTGACAGTGTGTTGCTGTGCTGGTTTCCTTTTGCCACCAGAGTCCCCACCATCTAAAGTTATTCCTCCTTTTATTCTTAAATGTCATTGTCACAATAATTTTGGCTTTTTAGTTAGCATGAACAGCCTTTCCCAGAAGCACACAAGACTATTATTTAAATAGTATACACTTTTGAGGTATTAATGCTACTTATTTTATAGATTATATTTATAAATGCTGCTATGCTGAGGTATTTTAACACCCTCTTTGTTCAGGTTTTGATTTTTTTAATGTCCAAAAATAAATCTCTTGAGCAAAAATTTTTTTACCTAATTTTCACTCTCATAAGTGAGCAGTGTGTGTGAGATTTCTAAACCACGTTTTGTATAACTGCTGCTTAACTGTCTTCCTACCACCCCTGTAACTGCCTTGTCTTTTTATCGCTTGGTATTTATGAAAAACATTGCAGGAATGCATCATACCATAGCAAGCTGCTTAAGCTTTCTCAGCTTCCTAGTCCTTGCTATTTAACAGGCCAACTCCTCCAGCCTCACAAGAAGCAGTGCTGATTGTAGCAGTTTGGTATTCTTCACCATTCATCCCCCAGGACTACTGATTCAATACTTGATGCACGCTTACTAGCTATAAAAGGATGACTGTGTCCTATGCATACTAGTTTCACGGTTTACAATCTTTACAATATTTATCCAACCACGATTAGATTTCACCTAAAAGAAATAAAATCCATTCCACAACTGTTCAGAAGCAATGGAAGAGGAACATCCAACAATTTGCCTGTCAATTTAAAAATATTATAGGGGTATTTTTAGAATAACCATTGTCTTTACATGCAAATATGGATATTCCAAAATGGGGTGGGAGAATGTGGGGGGTGTTTTGGTTTCTTTTTCTAAACAGATACCTGTAGGAAGTACTGTCCCTTCAGCAGCTTCTGTCTAGAAGTGAAATAGACAAAATTACAATTCTGAAGAAAGTAGAAAACATACAGTTACAAGACAGAAAATAACTATTTGACCTCAGTTATTTTATTAACTATTAAATCTGCTCTGAACAATTGCAAAGGGATCACTGTTCTGTTAAGTTTTACATTTTCATTTTAACCCATCTTTACTATAATCATATGTACATGATTCTTAGTATATGAAAGAACTATAAACAATATCAGTTTCACTTTCTAGTGACTGCATACAAGTTTAACAGTGCTCTACTAACAAGACAAGAAAAAATATTTACTACACTTCAATAAGGAAATTTTTCAGCATGCACCTTAGGTTCCCAGGCTGAACCAATGGCACTTGTTCAGTACTCCATATACCAAGTCCCCTACCTGTGATCCACAACCCACCTAGGAGCTGTGAGATCTATAAACTCTGAATGACAGAACCAAAACATATTTTGATGTCTTTTACCTTCTGCTGATGAAAGCAGCAGCAGGAGGATTAAATGATACACAGATCATTACAAGAATAACTTCATATGAAAATTACATTGTTTTCTCTTTTAACAAAAGGATGATCAATAAGCAGAACACTTACTGTTGAATCCCTACATCCATCTCTTAAGTGAACATTATTTATAAATTCTATCCCCTTTTCCTTTCTCACAAATCTGCACCTATAAATGAAAAAAAAATTAGTTATAATAAAACTGCATGAACAGCAAACAAAACCTGACTACGTAACTTTGGAAAGCTTTGATACCTTTCCTATATCATAAAGAAGAGTTGCTTTTGAAATCTAAATGTTTAGTCGACACCAGAAACGCCATTTAATGTTGGTTCTTTTAGTCTTCTGCAATCAAAGAAATGCAGTCACTGGTCTCATGTACCTTCTTTCACTATTTTCCAACCAATCCTGGCCACTGGGCAGAGCTGTTCCCTACCAGAAGACTTAAGGAATGCCGTAACTCCTCAGCGTTAGTTCTTTACCTTCATCAGTTACTTCATTTTCAGCAGCCCGTGGACACAGACAGCATGCTGTGAGACTGATACACTGCCACTGAAGTTGATGTGCAAACAAACACTCTGTACAAGACAGTTAATGATCTGAGAGGAAGTAATCAAACCTGACATCATTTAAGCAACCTAAAACAAAATCAAGCCCATATAAGGAGGAGTGAAATGTAGCAAGAAAATTGCATATTAACCATTCACTGCACCAAGCCAAAAGCTTGCAACAGCTTGTCTTTCAAGTGCCTGAGACTAATAATGAAAAGCTGCCTGTACCACTAGTGAAAAAAGGATCAGCTAATGCATAAATACTAACTTCCAGCAAGCCTTTCACCACAGAAGATAAATCTGGCAATAAATGCACAAAAGACATGGATTTTATCAACGTTATACAAGTCTTTGTACTTGGACAGCTTTCACCCACCTGTAAGAAACAATGAGTCATGCACTATTCTTCCTTTCAAGACAGATTTTAGACAAAATTGGCACTCTTTCTAAAAACTACCCCTGGGTCGGGAACCCTCAACCCTTTAAAATGATGCTGAAGTGTGTTTTGAATTGAACACCGCTACTGACTTCTTCAGGTCTGTGTGCACACAGAAATCTCTTCCTTTCAGTAATTCCTACAAACAAGCTGATAAGCAAATACACTGATTTACAAGTTACTCCGAAGGTACTAATTGAAGACAATCTTTCAGACTGATTACCTCTAATGAGTTAGTTTGCCCTCAACCTCTTGAGATTTAGTTCTTTCCCACCTGATTTAAAAACTCCTTCCTAGCTCTCAAAGACAGCATTAGGTTAATGTCCTCTTTTGAGGCCTCCAATATAACATTAAAGCATATGTTCATGTTTATACATGTAATAGCAGGACTACAGAAGGTAGAACAGATGGAACAACAAAAATAAGAACACCATGCAAAAAAATGCCTTAAAATCTTTTCTACTTATTGGAAAGGAAAAACATAAACCATGGAAGATAACTGAGAGTCTTTGGTGCCTACATGACAAGAATGAAGGAGAAAGAAGTGGAGGAAGGCATCTAAAAAATTTAAAATTATTTGCCTAAGTCTGAACAATGTTTAAGCCATAGTCAACCTTCCAAAGCCTTCATTAGTATGCTCTGTCATGAAAATGTAATATACTGTAAGTAAGACTCAGGAATGCGACAGGAAAACAGTAAAAAATACCTTACCCAGGAAACCATTTGGCATGCTGATCCCATGGGTCTTCATTTTCCTTCCATTCCTGCAACCCTCCACCACAGTGGAAACACAGAACATGATCACCATTACCTGAGGAAACACGTGAAATGAAGTTACATACTTCTAGTAGGCATAACATTAAGCTTTCAACTAAAATGTTACTTTATTAAGAAGTATTTATTTTATTGATTAGCAACTGCAACTAAAAAGAACTCCACTTTAAAGGGGGACATGCCACGTATGATTTGAAACAAATGTTCAGGAGAGCCTTGAGCATCTAATATTCCTGAATTTTATTTTAGCAAGTAATTATACAGGTAGAAAGCGAAAGCTAAAAACAGTCAATTACAAGTATCTCAATCCACTGGTAAACATGCCATGAAGTCTACCACAAAGAATTAAGAATGTGCCTTTTTGGTGTTCTCCGTTTCACCACTGAGATTAACGGGCTCTATACAGAAGTAGCGGAACTGACTGAGGAGGTGTTAGGAGAAACCACTCTCTCTGTTCTAGCACTATGCCTACTGCAATCAAAGCTTGTACCAGAAGCTGCACAGATTTATTGAAATGAGAGGAGTTATGGATAGATCTTTCCTACAGAGCTAAATCAATCTCAGGCCACAGGAAGCAGAGTTTTCACAGAAGTCACTTGAACAGCCATCGGGTGAGACAAGATGGTGCCCATTTAGTGTTCCTCCACAATACAGATCTCACTTGGCTGTGAGAAGCCAGGTCCTTCTAGGAACCCAAGAAGAAATCAATAAACACAGTTCTACTGGGTATGAACATTGCCCATATTTCACCCATACAAGAATATATCAAAGGTTTTATTTATCGCCACAAGTAAAATAAATGGAATCAGATTGAAACAATCCTTCTGAGAGCTACCGAGAGAGAAGTCAATTAAGATGAGAGCAAGAAATTATCCCAGATAATCTCCTTTTCCTTGTGACCTAATAACAGTAACACTTTGCAATCATACAGCATCTCTCAACGAAGAACTTAAAAGAGCTTTAAGGGCACTGTGCAGTTCAACCTAATTGGGAAACCAATGCACAAAGACACTGGAGTCTTTTCCAAGTCAAACACTGTATGTCTAAGAGTAAAAGCTCTTCTACTGGAGTCACTGTCTTCATAAACCTTTTACAGTAGGTAGTATCGGTACTTGCTTATTTTGGATGTCTGAATGCTGGGATAGCTCAAACGTGTCAGCTAAATAAAATGGCACACAACCCGGATTGTCTTGTTCATAGGCTTCTGTACAGGCCACAGCCCACTCCTTAGACTAAAGTTAGATAGCAGGCAGGGAAAACACACTTTGCTGGTTTACTGCTAAAAATGAATTTATGACCAAATTTATACTTTGCTATTAAAACCACACTATAATGCATGTCATTTTACACAAGAATTTTGAAAAGCAGTTTACAAAGTAAAGAAATTCTGGCAAATCACTGCATATTAGAACAAAAAAAAACTTATCTTTTTCATAACAAGACACTCGTATAAAATTCCTTTGTAAAAGACATCAGGCATTTTAAGGTCTGGCTTACCTATGCTATAGAACCCAGCTTCAGCAAGCTGCTCCTTGTCAACAGGATATATCCAAGTTAAAAATGTTTGTAAACGTCTTCCATATTTTGCCATAGATGGATTCCTTGGATACTGTGCATTGTTCAGACTACCTCTCCCAAGCTCAGCAGGCACAGATTCACTTGGAACATTTCCAACATCCCGGCCCAACACAAAAAGGCATTTGGGGAAATGCCTCTGGTGTTCTGACCAAGCTCCGTCACTGGGTTCCCAGTTTTTCAGTTTTCCACCACAACAAAAACACGCCACTTGATCACCAACACCTGTATAATAGAATCCAGCATTAGCCAATTCCTTTGGTGTCAACTGGCCATTGAGGGGCCAGTTGTGGAAAGACTTTAATCGTATCTCTTCGCTGCACATAGCGGGGATTTTAGGGTAAAAGCTATCTGACATATCCACAACCTGCCTAGTTCTCAAAAGGTAATCTGCCTCCACATCAGATGCGTCATCCAGAGCACACAGGAGGGCTGAATTGCTGGAACCATTTTCAGTTCTGTGCTGGCAGTTCTGGGCGAGAGGATGTATGTTATTTTCCAGAAAAGTAGATTCAGTAATAAATTTGCAATTTGGGGAAAGCTTTTTGTGTCTCTGAAGTGCAGAATCCCCAGGCGCCCATCCTTCCACAGTTGTATGGCAACTGAAGCACTTCACTTTGTCACCTTCTCCAGTATAAACAAAGCCAGCTCGTGCCAGTGCTGATGCCGAAACCGGACAGCCAAGAGGAAATGCAACAAAACTTCCCAGTCGATAGTGTTCCTGTGCCCATTCCTGGTCCCTGTCAGTGTCTGGAGTGGCACAAGCTTCCGAGTTATCCGCGACTTTACACGTCATCTCTTCATTAGTAGGGCTCTCCTTTCAGATTTCCTAAACAAAGAATAAACATCTTAATTTCACAGAAGAATAGATCATTCCCATATGCAAGCTCAAAAACCTGCTAAGTTAAACTACCCATCCTTTATGGTTTAAAATAATGCCTCTTCCTCTTCCGTCCTATCTCATCATTGCCCACATCCCCAGCCAGAGACAAACACCAGAAAATTACAAACAGGAAAATCCTTAAAGAAAGGGAAGAAGATCATGAAGTTTTACAGGCCAATATAAATTTACCTGGAAAACACAGGTTTATACATTTATAGCTTTAAAAGCATGATCTACTTCTTAACAAACAAACATTGCAAGAAATAAATAAAGAAAATATTTAACAAAAGCTCTAGGAAAAACCCTGCCAAAACGCTTCTCAAACTGAAATAAGAAGTTACAGAATTTAAAATACTGATTTAAGCCACACCACACTTGCAGGATTTTACAGCCCAGTTCTGAAACACACCTGTCTTTATTTTTCTCCACATGAAGGCCATGACCATCATGCCCATTACAGATGGACAGGTAAAACCATCATCAAAAAGAAAGAAGCCTTTGGACTCGTATCATCCTGTAGAGTCATACATCTCAGTTTTCCTTTTAGCAAAATATCTGTTAATAAACTATCAGATGTGGCATTTTACCAAATGTGGCATTTTACCAAAGTGCTCTGCTCTGCTCTTAAGATCAGTCACTTGGACTACCCAGCAGAAGTGTTCATGCCCAGCACACTTGTTCCACTTTCCCTGCCCTGCCTATGCTCTCTATCAAAAGTTCCTGCACCTCTGCCATCACCTCAGCTTTTCCACCCTTCCCCCCCCCTGAAGGAACATCATTCTCCTTACCACCTGCCCCACAGTCCTATTCCTCCCTGTATTTTTCCAGGGTGAAAACCAACTGCAAGTCCTGCCCGTGCCCTTCTGTGTCAGAAGGCTGCTAAGAGCACTTGAACAAGCTCCTTCTTTCACAAAGACGAAAGCAAACAACTTGGTTCCCACATATCCTGTGCAAGAATCACAAACTAACAGGGTCATTGCCTTCACCCCAAGAGCACAGTAAAAATTCATCTCTTGTCCTGACAAGTGCAGTGATACTATTGATTAGAAAGTCTTGGGTAAAACACAGGCTACTGCTGACACACATCTCAAACTTACTCCTTTACTAAGTGGTAAATTATTACGAGACTGCCCAAATGGATTTCTTAGCATAAAGCAGTAATAATTCAGCAATTAGCAAAAAGGAATGCAGAGAAGGAAGAACTGAATATGCATTTGTTTGAATAAGTGTCCTTCTCCATTTTCTATAAGGATCCTGAAATGTATTTGTTTCCAGTCCTCACCTTTACAAGGTAGGCCATCAGGCAAAAATGTAGCTTCCTCAACACATTCCTTCTGCAACACCTGCATTAATAGCGATCATACTTTCTGTAAGGCCAATGGCAGATGTTACAATCCTAATAATTGCTTATACAACACCAGATTCATCTTTTACAGGAAGGACAAAACCTATTCCGAAGTTCAGAAGCAGAAGGGTAAAATTAAAGTGACTGTGCATTGCAGGATCACCGCATCCTTTGCCAAGATGACAGAGGTAATTAACCTGTAAGCACGTTGAGAAAAGATGACGCTAGAGACTCAGCGTGCTTGCTTCATGTGATCATGGCTACCAGGCTACAATTCCCCCTGTAAGTCAGTTTGTGACTAATGTAATGACACCAGGAATTATACTGTGGCTTGCTGTTTTAGCTTAGCAGATTCAAAAATAGCTCCTGAATAAAGTACATTGACTGACCTACAAATCTGACCTATATGCTTGGTTTGACTTTGAAGGGCAAACCCCCCCATAATCAGTAATTACATGTAGTAATATGAAAGCTGTCACAATTCATGTATTTTTTAATATATGTGAGTATACTGAAACCAATAATTTTTTGTAACAAGTTTCAAAGTTCATCTTTATTTCATTTTAAAGCCTTATTTTACATCCTCTAGGAGTGTTTCTGTAAAGATCTCAAGTGACCTATGGATCTATCACTATTACCCTACACTGCATTCATAAAATCATTTGTATTACTCAAATACTGTCAGCTGCATACTAATTTTCTTATCTGCATGCCTAGAAGACTTTTACAAGGCAGCAAACAAGGCCTACCTCACATCCTTCAGAGACTCCTTATTAAAATGTCCCTTGAAAAACCAAAACAAATGCATATGCTATCAGTGAATAGCTGTATATCTTCATGTCTATTTTCCTTATATAGAGATGAGTTCAGACACAGTTAAAAAACAACTCATCCTAAATATAAATACATTTTTATATATTAAATTTTTTTTAGTTTATATAAGTATTTTAAAATCAGAACAGAGTTTCTACATCCCTCTTTTGATCTTCTGTGTACAAAATAACCACAGCAAATCAGAGATTATCTACTCAGACAGTCTCTGTAATTTGCCCTCCCTGTCTTTAGTGAAATCGGGGGTAAAGACAGACCAAGGTTCAAGGCTGACAGAACTCAAGAATTTATTAGACACACAAAGATCACCCTTGGTTTGGGCTTTTTGGTTCCTTATGCCATATAGGGTGACCACATATCACAGGGATGACTACAATATATGAAGTTAAAAACAGTTAGGAGACAAAATTATGCCCCCTCTTCTAATGAACTACCTACCTACGTGTTCTAAGCACCACTTAAGTGCTCAGTTATCAGAACTCATCTTAAAATCTGCCATTCTTAAAAAGAAAAGAAGTCTGATACAGCAGTACCATGCATATAGAACAAAAAATAGATTAATACATACCAGGGGAATATATATACACACATATAAATAAAAATTTGATTATAGCACAAATCCACTACTTACAGTAAGTAATATTCTTTTTCAGTTTCATTGATTACTTCTGAGTAACTGTGAATGCCAGGCAAAAATAAACTAACAGAACTACCTAAAATTCAGTGTCTGTACTACCCTCAACTGCAATGGAAATCACAGGATAATGCCTTTCAGCTAGACAGAACAGGAGTATTTGAAGCAGATAAAAACCCAACTATCCCTATGTCCTGTACTGGAAGTTTCAACAATTGAGGAAAATAGAACTGGTAATAAGCATTAGGATGAAACTAAAAAAATCTTTAAGGTCCCTTTCAAATCAAATAGTTCTATGATTCTATGGTAATGCATTCATCACTCACAACACTGAGATCAGCAGCTTTATTCTTTCAAACAGTTTTTTCTACAGTGCTATGAATATTTCCAAACTCCTATTAACATGGTGAATGAAAAATAAATTATGCCCTCAACATAGCAATAATCAAAATATTTGCCACATTTGGATTTTTCTGGAGATAAGCAACCTATCTCCATCCTCACAATCAAAACAGCAGCACACGCCAGAAGAGCAGTTAAGTGCTGACAGAAGGTCAAATCACCACCAATCGATGCTTTAATATGAAGTAACTACTTAAAAATATCAATCACATTATTTATTCTTAATATTTTGGAGCAGAAAAATTTAACCATGATTCTAGAAGCTTCTCAAAACCATGTCTAAACACTGCAATGGTAGCAGCAGGACAGACCCCTCACAGGTATTCACTAATTTTAATAAACCTCCATCCACATTATGAAGCCCCTTCCTTATGATAGCCCCTCTAAACATAGTTGGTTTACATCTCAGTATAATTTTATCTAAAAGAAAGACACATTAACATGGTTACTAAGAATTAAGGTGAACTCTTCACCTGTGCAAGTACTGCTTTAAATACAATGTTAGCACTACTTTAAATGCAACATCAATTTATTTGTATTTCAAACAACTGTTAAGAGCAACCGTTCAAAGAGTAAAATTAAAGCTAACCTAGGAATAGTATTTCTACACAGGTATTTTAACATTTAACAGGTATTCAACTCCAGTTAGCTGGAGTGATGATTTAGAACAACACCCTGCACCATAACCATGCTCAGACAAACATTACCTGCAGAAGAAAAATAACCAAAGGTAAATTTTTGAATGATTTATGGCTGAGAAACATGAACTCGTAAAAGGCAGCCAACTACGACATGTATACAAGACTCTACAATACATACCAGCAGCAAACACGAGTGCAGAGAGTATACTTTATGTATTCAGAAGTTAATTAAGCCCTCCTGCGTTGATTTAATTAATGACGTATGAATTAAAAGAAGGTCCAGAAATGTAAAGTTCATCTTCACTTATAAAACGCAAGAGATTTTTTTTAACCACTACTGAAGCGTTAAATATCTTCTTATATATGCAGAGAGTAAACAAAGCCTATTTTAGCCTGAAAGACTTCCAGAGTCTGAGCCAGGTTTAATCCTGCTTTCAAACATCTGAAGGTATTTGTCGCCAGACACCTCCCATTACCAAGCTAAAGTACAAATTTACTTAGTCTATTGATTAGATTTTAGAAGAAAAAGACAAGAAAATATAGCAAAAATGTTAACTCAAAATGCAAAATTGTACACTGTGGTTTTGCAAGTCAAACATGTTCAGTTCAGCTTTAAAAATATTAACAAGTATGATTTTATGCAAAAATATGACATCATCACGTTACCTAGATCTGAAATGCTTTACAGGAAAAGCATAGAACCCGCTTTTCTCTTTCAAGTGTGTTTTATTAGACATGGTTATTTCCATCCTTAACCCTGAAGCAGATTGGCATTTTAAGGAGTTATTTTTAATTCTTCCACACAACAGGCATAGCAGTAACCTCCAAACCAAAAACCTACTTGCACAACCTCATGTTTCTGACCAAAGGGTACATAAACATGGAGCTTCTACTGCCTGACATGCTGACGACAGAGCAATGTTAGTGTTTATTGTTGGCTGAGTTTTGGAATGTGAGTAGTGCACCAAGTAAATATCAAACAGGACATACTGTACCAGCTGACACACAGATTATGCACATGTCACTTTTGTGCTGGCTCAGCTGCAATTAGATCAAGGGAGGTGCATGCAGCTAACTGAAAGTGTACT